TTCGCCAAGAAGCCTGATATAGAATTCACCGATAATTCTTCTGATGTTGATGAAACAAGTGAAGTTTTATATAATAATGCTATTACATCTAAATCTGTACCAGAGGTTGAGATATTTGAGGAGACGCTCGAAGAGCGTCCCATAGGACCTGAAAACTCTTTATTGGATGTAAGTAATGATCGAGATTCCGGCTATGAATGCGATTTTAAAGATGTCTACAATAACGACGAAGATGATTCACAGAGTGAGGATGTTGCTAATGCATTTAAGGGTGATGATTGGTTCTGTGGATTTTCTGACGATGATAATGAAGGTTATTATTATGATCAAAATACCGGCGAAACTTATAGAAAATCAGATCGTTCAATCTGCGCATATTAAATAAAGAAAAGTTATTGACCTCCACATATTTTTCGTGCAGCCCAATTTCTCTGATTCGATATTTTCCACCGATCATGAATTTCATTTCCCATTCTAATTTCTTTCGTTATAATGAATAAACTCTTTCAAAAGTTCGGACACAATGTCTATTCTGGTTAATAATAATTTTTGGAGAAACTACATAGTAGCTATTCTCATTTGAGATCGCCCGGTCCGAGATAAAAAATTCCCTTTTACATTCTTATAATATTGATACGGTGAAGGTATGATTAAAGTACGATGTAATTGTGGTTGAGTTGAAGTATATATATTCCTATATATCCACTATGTGAACACAAAGAAATAGTTGAGTCGCGAGGTCGCGAGACGTTATGTTAAAATGAGGTAACCACGTGATGGTAGAATTTCGTAAAGCATTAATAAAATTGGGTCAATCTGTGCGACAATAGATTTTTTACTTTTTTAATCTATGTCGTTTAACGTTGCAGGTTCTTCTATTAATCTTCCGACGGTCGAGGAAGTGAGAGGATTTAACGCCGAAGAACTTAATGGCTTTTTGAAAAGGAGGTTAAACGACATTGATAGTCACATAGATGCCTTAACAGCTCAGGAAGTCGACGGTGAAGCATTTCTTACTTTAACGCATGAAGGT